GCTTTACAAGTTTGTGGAAGAACTGAGTGGGTTTGTATCCAGGCCTGTGGCTGGACTCAAATATAGAATGACAGCTGTCAGTGCCTTACAACTTGTGGAAGTCGTGACCTACTTTATCATCTGATGAAAACTTGTGATGCCTCTCCATAGAGAAAACACAGATTTGCGCATAACTTTTAGAGTTTCATCGCTCTTGCTCCTCAGGCCCATCTGGGGATCGTTAGGCAACCCTGAGGCTTAGGTGAAGAATCCCTCCAAGATGAGAAAATCAATAGTATTTCTTTTTTTTTTTAATAGACGCTTATATTCACAGATAGATTTGTTTCTTACCTATGATTGCTGGAGAAATGACAGATAGCCATTCTTAGAAAGTGCTGCGTAATTGTCTTTAAATTAAGCTGACAAATTCTCAGTATTGAAATTCTTCCTAAAGGGAGGGTATAGCTCAGTGGTTGAGTGTGTGCTTAGCATGCAGGAGGTCCTGGGTTCAATCCCCAGTACCTCTGGTTAAATAAATAAACAAATAAACCTAATTTACCACCCCCCCAATAACAAATTAAAAAAAAGGTCATGTAAAATAGGCTCACTGGCCTTGGGAAAAATTCTTCCTTTATTAGGATTTCTCCATCTGTGGGTCTCCCTGTCCTTGCCACATTAATTGTACGTCTTAGGAATAGGGTTTCTCCTTCATGGGCTCTCTTTCTCCTTTTGTATTGAATCAATCATTTCTTGGAAATCTTAGCTTTTACTTGTAATTGGAAAACTCGATTCCTAGAAGCACGGTTACATCCAATGTTTAAGTTTGGGGTTTCTCTTTCGCTCCTGCTGACCAATCGCATCGGCAGTGTGAGCTGAAGGGGAAGTCTATGTCCAGCCAGCTTTGCTCCAGAGCGTCTTAGAATTGGGTTGCCGTTTGTTTAGTTAATGTTGTTCCGAATAAAAGACCTGTGCTTGAAAGTTTGAAAACTAAATTTGACAGCTGCCTTGCGAAAGAACTGTGGAGTCAGGACTTGGGGACTTCTGCCTCATTCCCAGGCACGTCCCCTAATGCCACGGTAGGTCTGTCTCCTCTCCCTTTTTGACTCTGGCAAAATGCATAGACTAGATGCATATTCTTTCGAAAACTTACTACTTTAAATGTTTGTTTTTTTTTTAACTCAGAGTGCTGTGAAATTCAGAAACTAATTAGAAGTGGCAGCTACAATGCCCAGACTTACTGTTTGACCAAGTGATTTGAATTTCTTTCTTTTAAGTCATGTCAGATGGTCAGGCTGCCTGTATTAATGAGGTTCCTCACTGAAACCCATCTGGTTCATAGCTTGTTTTTTTGTTTGTTTGTTTTTAATGTGATAAACATGTTAAATTACTTAGTGGATATATTTGGAGGAACTTGAGTTTCAGAGATCAAAGGTAACTGGATCAAATTTGACTTCAGAATATGCACAGAAAAGTCACTCACTTTTGCGCAAAACGTGTCTGTAGCATTTTATGTGAAACTGCTTTATTTGAGCTCTTTATTAGCACCAGCTCTCCCTGAGATGTTTACGCTGTTTGAACATCTTAGGCTTGGTTTATTTCTTCCTACATAACTACATTGCTTTTCAAGAAGTTAGATGAAAGTAAGAAAATTATAATGTACCACGTAGTCATTTATCAGCATTGGGAGCATTACGTCCTTGTCATGTGCACAGAGTCAGAGACGAGTCATTGTAGAGGACTGGGCTGAGGTTGGCCGACTAGAGCGTTGGGTCTCAGCAGGAGGCAGCATTGTTCTTTCAGAGGACATCAGGCATTTTCTGGGCACATTTTCCATTGTCACTCCTGTGGTCAGTGATGTGCTACCAGAGTCTAGCGGGTAGAGGCCAGAGATGCTGCTAAACATCCCAGTTCATAGGACAGCCCCCATGAGAAAGAATTCTCCAGCCCCAGATGTCACTTTTGGCAGACTGTGGGGGTAGAAAAAGCAGTAGGTTTAGTGGAATCCAGCCTTTGTTGACTCGTGTGGCATTGTTCTAAGTAGATCTGAATAATGAGGACTCGTTACAGAGTTGTCCATCCTCTTGTGTTTTCTAGAGAGGAAGTGTACCTTGCCTTACGGATCAGAACACTGCTGGTCCTGGTTCCCTTAGATTCCAGTGGAGATAAAGTCATGACCTTGGGTATTTCAGCCGTTGCCTGGGCGCTGCAGGGCCGCAGGTTGAGTTTTAAGCGTATGCTCCACAAGGCTCTGGATCTGTTCCCTAAGGGTAAATTGCAACAAGCCCAACTTTGTAGGTTTTGCTGCTTCCCAGGAATTCTTTGAGGTCATCTACAACAGCTTTGTACACATCCAGAAATTAAGCCTCTCCACACTTTCCTGGCTGAAATCCTGGACTCAGTCTTGGAGTTCCTACACTTAAAAACATCCAGTCTAGCAGAAAAATAAATGTCCTTATGAAAACAAAACAAAAGCCCTTCGATAGCTTTCTGTACAGCTCAGTTAACAACAGAAGAGAAAGTGAGAATCAGATGACAAGGCCGTGCCTTAGAGGCTGGACCCACTTTGGACCCTCGGGTGCACTCACCCCCTCTTATTCAGTGCTGTCGCTTGTCGAGGAAGCAAGTTTTTCTTGAGTGCCTCCTGTCTTGTCATGTAGGTGCTGGGTTGCAGAACTGAACCAGGGAGAGAATCCTAACCTCAAGATGATGATACTCTAGTCATAACACAGAAATTGACCAAGCAGTCACACCAACAGCTGTGTAATATCAGTTGTGATTTAGTCTCTGAAGGAGAAGGATGTTTTGTCATGAGATGGAAGACCTTGGTGGAGACAAATATTTATTAGGACCTAAGATATTTATTAAGAGGGAAGAGATTAATTGGAGCCTGCCTGTAGAAAAGGGATATGCAAAGGCCCTGAGGCAGATGATACTTGGTAAGTTTAAGGAATAAAGAGAGATCAGTGGAGGCTTTGATAGGCAAGATAATACCCACCCCCAAAAAATGTCCAGTCACTAATCCCTGAAACCTGTGAACATATATATTACTTTGTACAGCAGAAGGGACTTTGCAGATGTGATTAAATATCCCTAAAGTCAAAAGGCTCAGAATATTCCAGTGATTAAAACAGTGGTATTAGAGTGTCCTGTTGAATTCTTCCATAGCTTCTCCACTTGGAATTATCTGTCCAATTACAGTTATCTGTAGCAGCTTCTGCCTGTCCTATATTTTCTCCCTACCCCACATTCATTCCCTATTTTCAATAAAGATTCACGTAACACTAACAGAAAGTGAATCCTGCGGTGTTTCACTAATAACTGAAGTTGGAGTTAATGCAAAGAGAAATCTCCAGATAAAACCCTCTGAGAGGACCATTAAAGTGAAGGTTCATTGCATGCTTGCTGTCTGAGGTAATTAAAATCTTGTTTATGACAATAAGAGATGGGAGGAGTTGTTGATTCAGACATATTGGTGCTTTATAAGTTGAAGTCTTCAATAAGCTTAAATGATCCAAATTGATTGTGTATGCCCTTTCCAGTAAAACTCACAGCTAATTCATTTCAGCTCTGTTCAGAGCATCTTAGCAAGTGAGTAGAAGCAAAGCCATCTTTCCTAATATATACCGTGTATATATTACCATATGGTACAGGTCTACAGTCCCTTAGCTGAAACCCTGGAGGGCCAGATGTTTTAGAATTCAGAATCTTTTTTAGAAAGGCATGATGGTGCATATTCCATATATATTTACAGAGGACACAATGTGGGGTCTGGGACTGTACCCCTGAATGCATTCCTGTTTCTGCAGCATGTACATGAATATTCATA